TGATCATAGCACTGTCAATGCGGTATGTAAGTCACTAGGTTTTCTATCTGAACGAGAGGTTGTGAAAGAATATGAAAGAGGTATGAGGATTGAACAAGCATCTGTTGCTGAAAAGGGCATTTTACTTAGAGAGACATCTATTGTGAAGGAAACCCCTGCGATAGAGAAGAAAGGGATCTCTAGAAAAGGAAAAAAGAAAATAGGGGAACAGTCGAATGTTGATGCAGATGAATCTGTTGGTGAGGAGGAACTCCAAACTGGAGAGAAAAGCAAGAACATTGACTCCAGAAAGGAGGATAATGACGAGAAATTATACACTGAGTTTGTGCCTATTTTTGGTATTTCCCCTGATGATAAAAAAAAAAATAGTTTGTTCAGAAACAAAACATATCATATTGCTTACAACTCTCTCTTAGCCAGAGGAGTCATAAATAACAGGGTAGTAGATTTCAATTTCTTCGAAAACTTCAGTATCAAGATTGAGAAGCTGATTAAGAATCTTGATTTTCAGAGAATGTGTTCTCTCTCACACAAGGTTTACCCTGAACTCACTGCTTACTTATATTCCAATTTATCCTTCAATTCTCCTACTGAGATCGAATTCTCTGTTTTTCAAAATAATTATAAGTTAACAGCCTTTGATTTTTCTGCCATCCTAGGAGTAACACGTACTGAATTTTCTTTCATTCCTACTACTTCTGATTCGGCATACCGATCTTTGTCACGCCCGGTACTCTACCGGAACGCAACATCCCGTCGACGGTCGATTATGGTGCAACGCTCCCAGGAAGCATTGCCGACCCAACGCCCAATCAGAGATCAAACACATACGGAAGCAACGTATATAAATAAATATATACACCCATACAATAAATCGCATGAGACTAAGGATAGCCAAGCAATAAACAACGATCAACGCAGAAAATATGTACACACTTATATCACTATTTTAAAACTCTTTTTACAGTGCTCCCAACAACTCAAATAAAACACCAACTCCTAGGAATAACCAAACAGCCACTTCTTCGATCTGCTCCGTCTCCACAGGGGTGCACGCTCAACGACCGCTGGACGAAATGCAGCATCCCAAAAAGTGGTGGTGTCTCGGCATCCTACGGCTGGGAGTCTGAAAATGTTTCGGTTTACACAACCGTGAGACGAATCTCAGCGAGTATGACCCCCTAAACCTAGGCTAGGCTAACATGCAATCTCCTGACCGACAGCACAAAACAACATAACTAACCAATTTATAAATAAACTCCGACCTAGGCCCTCTGACCCAGATCTCTTACCTGGCTGACCCTGCAGGTTATTGACAATCATGATTTAAATCAAGTCACATACGCGAGCACTCGGTTCATGCGTACGTCAAACGTATGCTCATACTTAATAATGGTAATAACGCGTGTCAATCACCGAGTCCCGCACACCCGCAAACCGGCCCATGCATTCTTATGTATGCAATGCTATCGTCACACCATACTCATGCCTCGGCTCACTAGCCCACACTGGCACCTTGGCACTTGCTCAATTTATCATTTATTACGACCCGCGTAAAACGCATCAGGTCTCTTCATTTAATCACAACACTTCATGGCCCGCGTTAAAACGCATCAACTGGCCCAGTGTCTCTAGCCCGCGTCAAAACGCATCAGGCGCAACACCGATCTCCTCACGAACCAGAGCCCGCGTAAAACGCATCAGGTTGGTCGTCTTCCGAACGTACCGGGCATCGTCCCGCGTAAAACGCATCAGGACGGCACACCCCGCGTAACACGCATCAGGGCGAAATTGTGATCACACATACACACAATCAATTATTATCTGCACCCCGCGTATCACGCATCAGGGCATTTAGGTGATCACATGCTCATGGCAGGCACGCATTCTCGCACAATTCATCACACACCTCGTTCCCGGCATTCACTATGCGTGCCATGAAATGCAAAACAATGCAACATGAGCATCAGCACAATTCAAGCATTCAGTTAATTTCATGCCGCAACAATCGTTCACTGGCCAATTAATACCATGCGGCTCAATTCCACAATGTGCAATTCAATAATCCAATCAAGCCATCACATGGCCAATCACACTCCGCACAAGTCGGCCACGCAGTCACGCGACATGGCATTACTCAATTTCCCAACAATTGGGTACGTAAATCAACCACCAATCAACCCGGGCATACCCAAGAATTCAATCACATAATCCCCGATTAATCTGTGCTAGTCCAATAATTATTTCTAATAATCCCACTAAATTCCTTAGACTTAATTTCCAACGATCGATCCTCAATCCAGTCCGAATTACACACTGGTACTACCTAACCCAGTCCAAACTACACCGATAATACCTAAGCCAACATGCCGAACACAATCATTCACCAAATCAACGAATTCAACGCATCCTTGGCACATTCAATATATTTCCACTTTGGTTCAACGAATCCCACATTCATTCGCACGTTCATTCCAAGGTAGTTCAATGCGTTAAAGGCCCGCCCTGGGTAAATCCATCTCAATAGTTGTTCTCACCACTTCGGGGTCATTCAATAGGATTTATACACGTCCTAATCATCCCCTAAAAATGCCTAAATTCTTGTCATTAGTCCATTATTCTTAGAATATTCAACTTGGGCACAAATTAGGCATTTTCGGTACTGAATGAACAGTACCAGGAAAAATTAACATTTAGGCACTAAACCACCTTTAAACCATCTCATTAAGGCCTAATCACCTACCCCAAACATCCAACCACCAAATACATATAATTAAGCCTCAAATGAGCTTAATTAACACTTGAATTGTCTAATTTCAAGCCTTGAATCATTGAATTCAATTAGTGCAAAACTTAGACAAATATGCACAATTTCGGTACTTTGTGAACAGTACCAAAACAGGGGCTGTTTTGAACACTAATCCACACTTAAATAACCTCATTAAGCCCTAATGACCTATCATAATCATCCTACACCCAAATAAACATCATTAGGTCCTAAATGAGCTTAATTAACCCCTAATTACCCCCTAAGGACACAATTAGACTAATTAAGGGTTTGGGGTTTATACTCGCCTATTAACGACTCGGGACAACGGGAATGGGCGGTCGATCACCGACGAACGGTAAGGATCGACGGCGGCGTTCCGATGCAAGCCGGCGGTCCGCGGCAACGACGGAAACAGCGATTTGCTTGCTTTTGCTTACGTTCAGCGGAAATGGGCCTGAGGGTGGCTGTTCTTGGGTGGAAAGGGTTGCTGGTGGTGCTGGCTCGGCGGGGACAGCTCCAGGAGTCTTGTTCCATCGTGAACGCATACCGGTTTGAGCGAACGTGAACTACTGAACAGAAAATGGGAAAGAAGAAGGAAATTCTCGGGGGATTTGGCCGAATGGTCTGTTGGAGAGAGAGTGATCTGGTCAAATAAGGGTCAACAATTGATTTAGTGGGTTCCAAGTGTCATTATCTTAGGCTATTGGACAATTTTGCCCTTGATCCAAGGGCTATCCTTCCTTCTCATCCAATAATTTAGGGGTAAAATGGTCATTGATCCTTAACCCAAGCTGACCAGACCTGGTTTAGCCCTAACTCACCTTGGTTAGTCCCCTAATTAAATCCAAAATTCGGAATTACCAAAAATGGGTCCAAGGGCATTTTGGTAATTTTTCGGTCCCGGGTCAAAATTCCAATTTTCGCACACACGCGTTCCATATGTGCGTGGCCAACATAATATGGCATCAGAATCGCGAAATTCACTTTTTAAGTCCTCGAAAACTACTGCAAAGTTTCGAGAATAAAATAATATTATTTTTCCAATTTTTGTCGATATTCCACTTTTTGGCCAAAACCACTCTAAATGTGCGTGGCCACCCCAAAATGACATTGGCCGTGAAAAATAACCTCAAACGACCTCCGAATCCGGCCTCGGTGCCCACAGGGGCAAAACCGTAATTTCTCACCCCCGGACCAAAATTCCAATTTTCACTTGTACTAACCCCAAACGTGTGTGGCCAGCGTAATATGACGTCAGATTCCCAAAAATAGTCTCTTAAGCCTTCGAAAATCAACCTCGAAATCCGGGCTCAATTCCGTGAACAAAACTCGCTAAACTTTCAATTTCATGGTCTCTCACTAACGGGCGGCTGTTTAGGAGTTACGCGTATCGACCTAGGGCTATCCATATCGTAATGGTCTTGATCATTGAGAGAATGAGAAATTATCATTAGTTCCAGAGGTCACGATCGCTCGGTTCAAGTTCAAGACTGGTTGGCCACGTGTACTTTCGGTCTTGCAGAATCACCTGCGATCCGATGGTACATCGTTGGCCTTGGCCAAACCAGATCCGTTACCTTTCCTAATATCGGTCCTTACTGGTTCATAATATTCTCTCGTCATTTCTCGAGATCGGTGCCCAATTCACGATCGGGTCCCTGGTCCACGTACCATTTTCGTAGTTAGCCATACCACATTGGTTAGTATCCCGAGAGTGATCAGCTCTGGGCGAGACTTACTAAAATGAAATGCGAAATATGGTCAATTTATTGATCTCGGAATTACATCGAAATTCAGGCTGTTACAATCTTTGTCTGGTAACTCATCTTTTATCAGAGGTTCAACATCTCACGCATCTCATATTCTTTTTCCTCTAAACTCCATTGTGTTGCACAAAATAATCATCAACTGTCTCAGACCCAAAGGATCCGTTAAAACTGATGTCTCTAGATATGAAGCAAAGCTGATCTGGGCAATTCAAAACACCTTTCCTATTTCTTTGTCCCATTTGATCTTTCTACAAATGTACAGATCTGTCAAGAAGAATAAAGGTCAACTTCCTTATGGAGCTCTGATCACTGCTATTTTTGAGTACTTAACAATTCCCATTCCTGCGAAACTCAAAGGCAAACCTCTTCAAACCATGACTATAGGGGAACTTATGATGATCAAAATGGGATATAGGTTTAGTGGAGAAAGTTAGAAGAATAAGAAGGGTCAAATTATTCCAATGGAGCTGATGAGTGAACAGAACAAGGGCTCTGTTAATATATTTCTTGAACCTGATGAAGAGGAGTCAGTTGAACCAATGAGAAAGATAAAAGTGAAGAAGACTGCCTCAAAATCAGACAGACCAGCAAAAAGGAGACAACCTGTGGCCAGTGATTCTGATGAGATGGAGATATCAGATGAAAAATCTGATGAGCAATCTCAAGCTGATGACAGAAGCCTTAGCCTTGAGGAAATAAGGTTTACGCAATGGCTACTTAATATAGAAGCCAAGCATAAAGCTCATGCAGACAGGCATGTTGATACATAGCTAGAAATTTAAAGGCTGAGAGATGAGGATGAAAGCTTGATGCAATCACTTAGTGACCTCATCAACAAAATTGTGATGGAGAATCAGCAAGAGCAAATGGTCACTGCCCAGAAAGAAACTGAAGATATTCAGTTCTTCGAAGAAGGACCCTCTAGGAGACAGGGGGAGCTTGAGCATGAAAATGTTATAGAGGCTGAAAGGCCGGATGAGTATGAGCAAGATAATGCTCAAAATGTCGAGGAAAATAACTTTGAACTGGCTGACATTCAGGAGGAGCAAATTCAGAGTGCACAAGAGGCAGACCTTTCAGAAGCAATATCTGCAGATTTCCCTCTTGAAGGAGATGAATATGAAAATGTTCCATCTAAAGCTCACCAGAAAGGAAAGGAGAAGCAAGTCGAATCTGCTAACATTTAGACTACCAACACTCCCTCTGGATATAATATCTCATCATCTATGTCAAATCATGCAGCTATTATAGATCTGAGGTGGAGGCAAGCAGTCGTTCAGAATGAAGTCAGGGAACTCAGAAATGAACTTAAAGAAGGAATCCAGGAGCTGAAGGACTTGATGGAAGCAAGAATCAACAATCTGAAGATACAAGTCAGAATTGATGTGCAAATTACAGCACTCCACACTGCAAACATTGAAGGAAAGATTAATCAGCTCTCATCAAATATTGAGCAACGATTGAACCAACGATTATACTGCATACATATCTATCAAATGAGTTCGTTAAAACATCATCATAGTCATCAGAGGCAATCATCTGACGACAACTTATATACAAGTTTGTCATACGCATCCATCTAATATTTATCATACGAGTTGTTAACCTCGACCATATTCATTCCGCACGTTTAAATCATCCAATTTGGGAAAATCACCTATTCACCCCCCCGCCCCCTCTAGGTGATAGTACTGGCTGTAACACTATGTACACATAAGTTCGACACCCTTAACACCATTGCTATACAAGACAACAAAAATAACATGTTAAACCACCATAAATCGAATGTCTCTAATGAACTCCTAGATCTAAATTTAGATCAAGAGAAAAGCTTTTAGATTTAAATTTATACCTAAATCGAGAGAGGAGAACTTCTGCCAAATCTCGAAGAAGTCATGGAACCACATCCTACTGGTTGGACTAGTGACGATACTCTCAAAAAGTTTTCAGCTTCAAGTAGACAAGCAGATTTATTCACCACGAAGAGTAAAGAAGAGAAACATCAATGAGCCAAAGAAGACACCAAATGAGAGAAAAAAAGGACTTCTAGATTAGATCAGAGAAGAAAAAGCAGGAAATCGACGCCCGGAAAAGAAAAGCAAAGCAAAGCATGAGGTTTAGCATGTACGGTAAAAAAAGAAACCGTTAGTATTTCATTCAAAACCAAAAGGTCTAGACCTTTCCAAAAGGGCCTGTAGTAGTAAACAGAGAAAAAAGAAAAAATTTCGATTAAGAAGGATAATGTGATTTCAGTGACGAAGAGATTAATAAATTGATATTTGGATGGAGATGGCCTTATAAGAGGCAGTTAATACCCATAAACGCAAGAATTATTAACACGAAATACTCCAAACTAGTACACATGTGACAATTGAACCACAAATTAAGTTTTTGATCATCAAAAACTCCAAACTGGTACATCTATGATAAATTTACCCTACGTTAGTTTTCGTTAAATTTTACTGTAAATTGATAAGTTAAATGATGCGAATGTACTAGTTTTGGGGTTTTACTCTCTGTTTGTCACATGTATACTAGTTTGTGACTCTTTTTTTTTTGTATTAATCCAATTTAACGGAGGATAAATTCGTCAAAATGTACCAGTTTAGGTTTTTGGTGGTCAAACATTAGTTTGGGGTAAATCTGTTACATGTATACTAATTTGGGGGTTTTGGTGATCAAAAAATTAATTTGGGGTAAATTTATCACAGGTGTACTAATTTGGGGTTTTTCATGGGATTAATCCTAAACTCAATGGGAGTCGGGGAGAATAGACGGAATAGCAGATGATGAAGTTTTAAAAAATTGTGCATTTTGTTGGTTCGTTTATCATGTTGAATTTGTCACGGTGACCATAGATTATGCTTCTTCTTTTTGTAATTTGCAAAGAAAATGCAACAAGGTCCCGTGGGTTGTGCAACATAATCAGAGCGACCTTCTACTTCTAGGTCTAGGTCCAACTATGCTATTGAGAGAGAGAGAGAGAGCGCTACTGGCAATGGTCCTGATACCCTCGTCGGAGCTCCGGTGAGGTCGAACCCTCACCGATGGCTAATCAACCACGCGCTACTGTTTACTCAAGTGGTGCCAATTAAGTGCCGAAGCTACCCATAGGCCGAAGAAGGGGATCTGTCCGGTTTTTTATTGAAACTATCATAAGGTCAGTGGCTGTTTTAGTTAGTGACCTAACTTTATTGGTCATAGCTTACCTATAATGATCATAACTCGTTTGAACTTGTAACTAGTCATTTACCTTTGTAAAGGGTAATTTCACCGTAGAGTCCATATTATGAAAATGCTAGCACTTAGTAATTAACCAATTCATGGTAAAGTACCTTAAATTTAATGTAAGTAATGGTACCTCTGCTCAGTAATAGTCCTCAACATTTGTAAATTTCCAGTAAGCCGTTGTGAATGACAAGTTAGTAACCATCCTTCATCTGTTGTAATTTACTTCCAAGTCTCGTAAAGTTGAATGTCCTAGAATTCATAACTTTCCATGAAATATCCTAAACAGTATTAATTTTCGTAATTATATTTTTCCTATTTGAAGTAACCTACCTATATAATGGTAACATTCCTTCATGATTCGTAAAGTTAATGATTCCATGAGGAAAAATTCCAAATAAAAGCCTGAAGTACCCTCGTTTTCTCAAATAAGGGCATGAAGTGAACTTTGTTTCAATTAAGGACATGAAATGGCCTAATCGTCTCAAATAAGGACTTTGGCCGGTCGGTGACTATTTTAGCCATCGGAGAAGGGGTATTTAAATCAAAATATTTTAAAGTATATATTTTTTAATTTTTTGATTTTTTTACTTTTTTTATTTTCCTTTTTTTCCCTCTTCCCTCCCCCGGTCATCACTGGCGACCTCTGCCGGCCTCAGGTTTAGTCGGATTTGGGGAGGAACGCCCTCACCGACGTCAGCAAGGACAACCCTTGCCCTTGCCTAGGTTGGCGACCTCTGCCGGCCTCAGGTGAGGGCTGTCCTCACCTGAGGCCGGCAGAGGTCGCCAACCTAGGCAAGGGCAAGGGTTGTCCTTGCTGACGTCGGTGAGGGCGTTCCTCCCCAAATCCGACTAGGGCATCGCTTGGGCTGGCAAGGGCGACCCTCAGCCTCACTAGCCCAGTCGTTCGCCTGGGCCTGAAGGCCCTCATGTGAGGACCTCGCCTGGGTTGGCGAGGCGAGGGTTGCCCTCACCGGCGTCGGGCAACCTGAAGGGAGACGGAAAAGAAAAAAGAAAAAGAAAAGAAAAGGAAAAGAAAAAAACCAGAAAAAGGAAAAAAGAAAGAAAAAAGGAAAAAAAAATTAAAAATGTAAAGACGAGAATGCCCTTCAACCAGTAAGGTCAGGTTCTTATTTGAGAATGATATGGCCACTTCAAGCCCTTATTTGATAAAATGGGGGCATTTAAGCCCTTATTTAAGACAATGTTCACTTCAGGCTTTTCGAGGACACTTTAGACTCTTATTTAGATTTTTCCCTTCCATCAATGAGTAATTTTCCTCATTCGTGGTATTTTTCCTCGACTATCATTTTTATGGGTAATCTTGTAATCGATAATTTTCCTTGACTGTTGATAAGTTCCTACCTTTTAAAATCATCCAACGTTTGGAATTCTTTCCTTTCGATCCAATCAATCTTAGACCCAGAAAATTGATGGACTGGACTCTAGAATTTCCCACGCCACCTTAGGCTGCTGCAGGGGATAGAAAAATTTAAAGAACAAAGTAGACAAAAAACGTTGGAGGACTAAATAAAAGAAAAAAGCAAAACGTTAGTGTAGAAGAATTAAACCTAATCTACAAAAAGTCAACTTTCGGGGTTAATACAATTTTCCAGTTTAAATTTTGTAACGGACGCATCGGAAGTTGCACTGGTTTTCAAAAGTTTTTTTTAAAGTAGCTATCCGCTCCAGTAACAGTTCAAACTAATTCAAAGTGTCAATCTGTCCTCGCTGAATAACACAATCTATAGCTAAAATCTGGGTGTAATGAGTTACATTAACGATCAGATCCAGAACATAATCAAAAACTGCAAGTCTAGCGTAATTGTCAGATGTTGAACGAAAAGCATATGAAGCCACATAAGGAGTGAGGGACTTTTCGAGAGCATTGAAACTTCCCGTTCTTTACCTCCCTCTGAACAGAAGCAACAGAAAGAGAGACGGACGAGTCTTTCTATAAATAAGCTCATGCACATTCATCTGAAATATGCAGGTAGCTCTCCTCTCAGCACTTTCATTTAACCCTCTTTGATTGGACATGAGTCCCTTGACTAGCAGGGCGATGAATCCATCTAGTTTGGCTTCACGAAGCATGTTTCTATGGCTAATTGTATCGTCTACGGTGACTAGCTTTGTGATGTCGGAATCCGGAGAAAGCGATATGTACATCGTCCACATGGACTATTCACAGAAACCAGCATCTTTTTCAACCCATGAGACATGGCACCGTGCCATCTTGGCCTCGTGATCCCCATCTCTCAGCGATGGCAAGGACAAGTTGCTCTATTCGTACAACCATGTCATGCACGGTTTTAGCAACAGGCTCACGCCGTCTGAGCTAGCCAAGATTGAAAAATCCCCTGCCCATTGAGCAACGATTAAAGAGTCCTTGGGCAAGCTGTTTACAACCCAGAGCAGCAAGTTCCTCGGCCTACAGCAAGGCTCTGGACTATGGCCCACCAGCTCATATGGAGAAGGTGTCATCATTGGATTCCTCGACACCGGCATATGGCCGGAGAGCGCCAGCTTCAGTGACAAGGAGATGCTGCCGGTGCCTCCAAGATGGAAAGAAGAGTGCAAGAAGGGCACCGCCTTTAGCCCATCTAACTGCAATCGGAAGCTCATCGCAGCAAGGGCCTTGCAGCCGCAGGAATAAAAATATCCAAGAAGCATGACTACAACTCCACGAGATTTCAGGGGTCATGATGGCACACACACATTGTCCACCGCTGCAGGGGCCCCTGTAGTTGGAGCAAGTCAATTCGGATATGCGAGAGGGATAGCTAGAGGAATAGCGCCGGCAGCTCATGTTGCGATGTATAAAGTTTTGTGGGCAGATGACACATACAAGTCTGCATCAAGCAATGTGCTCGCTGGAATGGATCGAGCAATTGCTGACGGAGTAGATGTCATTTCCTTGTCTATCAGCCTCTTTCTCACACCGTATTTCAACGATGTGATTGCCATAGCATCTTTGTCAGCAATTGAGAAGGGCATCATCGTTGTCTGCTCAGGTGGAAATGACGGGGCCTATAACTCCACCCACAATGGAGCGCCCTGGATCATGACGGTAGGAGCTGGAACTATGGATCGAAGCTTAGTCGCGACTTCAACCCTGGGAAATGGGTTAATTGTAGAGGGCATGTCATACTTCCCTGAGAGCATCTACATCGCTGATGCACAAGTTTATTATGGCAAGGACAACCCCAACAAAGCAAGGTGCCGGTTGTCAGCACTAGAACCCAAAGAAATTGCTGGAAAGGTAGTTTTGTGTGACGGAGACAATTCGTTAGGTGTAGACATTGAGGTTAAAAAACTTGGTGACAAAGGAGCATACGCGGCAATTTGCTTGAGCGACGACGTGTTACAATTTTTTCCTGAAGACTACACCATTCCTGTTGTGGTCATTCCGGCTTCTTCAGGATCTCCAATAGGGGACTACGTGACAGGAAAAAACAATGCAACCGTGAGCATGAGGTTCTTGCAGACCAAATTGGGCACAACCCCAGCGCCTCAAGTTGCCTATTTCTCTTCGAGAGGGCCAGATCCAATCAATCCGAGCATCTTGAAACCGGATATTCTTGCTCCAGGGGTCGATATACTAGCTGCAGTTGTGCCAAACAGGCCTTTTATGAAAGTTGGCCTGTACGATCTAGTGACCGATTATGCGGTTGACTCGCTCCACAGCAGCGCCACATATTGCCGGGGTCGCCTCTTTTCTAAAGGCCATGCACAAAGATTGGAGCCCAGCAGCCATCAAATCGGCAATGATGACCACAGCATACACCATGGATAACACCGGGACCACCTTGAAAGACCAAAAGTGGCGACATGCTGGGACGCCTCTAGATTTTGGAGCGGGCCATATCGATCCTAACAAAGCCATGGACCCTGGACTTATATATGACCTGAACTTTCAAGATTATGTCAAATTCCTTTGCAGCTTGGGACATACCAAGAAGCAGATGAGTGCAGTCATTCGGAGAGGCCAGTGGAATTGCAGCCGAAGTGACGGTGACCTGAACTACCCTTCTTTCATCGCCCTATTTTCGAACAAAACTGGCTCAACCAAAGTTAAGAGCTTCAAAAGGGTGGTGACAAATGCGGGAGATTCATCTGTTTACCAAGCGATATTGGCGAGTCCGAAGGAAATGAAAGTCACAGTACAGCCTAGCAATCTCACATTCACTCACAAGTATGAGAAGCAGTGTTTTGATCTAACTATAGAAGTCGATAAGAGTGCTCCTAGAGTGGCTTATGGTTACCTCAAATGGATCGGTCAGCACAATCATGTTGTATCGAGCCCCATTGTGGCTATTTCAGACTAAGCATATTCAGATTACTGAACAGGCAATCGTGTCCGTTCTAGTCAGGAGTCTGTGCAAAATCGTCTTGACTTTTAACAGAACATTGCACATCCTAATGACAATGCATGTGCCTGATTTGCCCGCTTTACATTCGAGTATCCAAACCTTTTTATTATTTCAATCAAGTACATCAAATTCTCAAATGTGCGTCAATGTGAAACCTCCGCTTTAATCACGAACGGAAATTGTCAAAGTGAACACTAAACGGTAAATATCACTTGACTGACAACATTGACATAGGATATGGCCTTTTGCAATGATGCCACATTAATAAAGACGTACCAAACCGTCAAATTTGTCTAAGTAATGCTATCTCTCCTCGTCAACCAACACCGAACGAAGATGATACAATTTTGCTTAGCAAGCGAGCCCATCAGTAATTGGACTTAACTTTTGCTACGTAAGCAAGCCACATCCGTAAAATCTTATAACTTGACAATTTATTAAATGGACACCTCATATTGAGCCAAATTTGAAAAATTGAAGTGCTTAACTGAACAAAAAAATTGATCGTGGACAAAAGTTCAAGTACTTGTAGCCTTATTACCTCAGCTTCTTACTATCCTAGTTCATACCCCGATGCCTGATTGAAGATTATCAATCTGCTGATTTTGATTCTTGTGTGCCATTCTATAGAACAAGAACCCGGAAAAATCACATTTGTGGTGTCCTTACTTTTGCACTTGTTTGATTTTGGTCCCTCTATTTTCTTTTTGCGACAAATTTGATCCCCCCCCTACCATTTTTTTTAGTGACAACTTAAGGACATTTCCAACAATTATGTCCAATTCTTAGTGGAATTTACTGACTTGAATACTGGAGAACGAGATAATATTGGGTAGAGCTATGATGCCAGCATGGCAAAATCCAGGTTTATTCACGGGGCGACACGTGTCGCCCGGGCCCACCACGTTAGACAAGAGAAAATTTTTCAAAATAAAAAGCTAGACTCTCTCTCCTCCCTCTACTTCGCGCGACCTTTCCACTTCTAGATCTCTCTCTCCACTCATGCTCTGCTCTCTATCCCTCCCAACTCACGCTCTGCAAACCACACTGTCGCCTCCGCCGTCCACCCCTCCTCGCCGAACCACGCCGTCTCTCTCTCTCGACTCGCTCACTCCTGACTCACGTTTTGCAAACCACGCCGTCGCCTCTGACCAAGCACGCCCTGCTCTATATGCCACCGCCTCCGCCTCCACCTCAACTTGCTCTATTGTTCTCGCCATCTCCGCCTCCGCCCAGGAAATCTCGTTTAAGGATCAACAAATCGTCTTTACGAGCATGTTTTGGGTTTTCTTTCCTCTTTTCAGTGCTTAAGTTATGTCGATGGGATCTGAGAACAATCTTTGGGCTATGATGCACGGTGCAGCTCTTTTCGAAATTTAGATCCATGTCCACGCCCATTTATGAATCCATACTTATGCAAGGAAAATAAAAGGATCACGTTGTGAACTTCAAAGAAGAAACCCAAAACTTTTCACTGATCAAATGCAATCTCGTTAGATAAAAAAAAATGCAATCTAGTGCTATGATCAGAATTTAGAGAAAGGCGAAAGAAAAGTGTCGTGCAAGAATTTCACAGGACTTGAATATGAACTTCTACATCAGCATAGTCAATATGAATCTCAGACGGAGACAATTTTCATTGAATCTGTAGCTTGTGCAAAGCACAAACCCAAGTGAAAGACATCATCATGTTCAATCTATAATGCAGAAAAAAAAAATTAATAGATCACATTTTCTTTGGGTCTCATGAGCAGAGCTCTAATCAAGAACAAGAAATGTGGTTCGCAGAGCGTGAATCGGGAGGAAGTGAGTCAAGAGAGAGACGGCGTGATTTGACGAGGAGGGGTCGACGGCGGAGGCGACAGCGTGGTTCGCAAAGAGTGAGTTGGGAGGGAGAAAGAGCATAGCGTGAGTGGAGAGAGAAATCTAGAAGTGTAAAGGTGACGCGAAGTAGAGAGAAGAGGAGAAAGAGTCTTGCTCTTTCGTTTGAAAATTTTCTCTTGTCTGACGAGGTGGGCCCGGGCGACACGTGTCGCCTGATGAATGGATTTAAATTTTACTACGCTGATATCACGACTCTACCCAATATTTCTCCGGTGCCTACACTAAGAGTAAACAACAAACATTATATTCATGGTCCTCGTGGTTTTGCACCGTTTTCAATTTTGGTTCCTGTACTATCCGATAACATTATCTTGTACAACCAACGTTATCTTCCATTGACGATTTAAGAAAATCTTATGCATTTTCTCCCGAGGACATTAGATTAGCCGATTCAAATGGTGTCTAAGTCAAAGCTACTCATGAAACTTTTTGATTATTCTAGTTCGTTCTATTGTCGGCTATTTATCTTGCATTGACTGGTCAGCTATTGTCGTTGCTTCATTAGATAATTTTCATAAGAAACCATGGAAACCGCAGTAGATGGAGAACTCGAATGAGAATAATACAGGAAATGGACTGAACATAACAACTAAGAGGGGAGCGAATTGATTGTTGTAGGATTTTTACAACTTCTTCATGCAAAACAGTGTGTAGAGAATGGACTAGTTGTAGACCAAACATGCAAAGCAGAACGATTATCTTTTGTCAATTGCAAAGGCACAGAGAAAAAGGGATAGGAGAAACAATTTATAGTGGTTCGGATTACTCCAAGTCCCAGCTCTAACAATCGAGTAACAACACTAAAATCCACTAGCGCAAACCTTCAAGTCTTTGACATCATTTACAGATGAAGTTGACTCTCCATGAAGAAACATAGCTCACTCTACGCTTAAAACACTCTTTACAATGATTACGCCCACAGTCATAGAGAATTACAACTAAAAACACAAAATTGTCTCAAAGAATAAGCAATTTTTGGGAGTACCTTAATTTACTAGGCCAACCTTCAACAACCATCGATGCATATATATAGCCCTCCAAACCAAACGGCTTTTTGGAGAATTTTTTTTTTTTGATCGAATGCTTGTTAGAGACTTAATAGGTGGGAAAATTATCAAAAAAGTCATAAACATATTGCACTTGTGCCAATTTAGTTCTAAACCTTCCAATTGTGTCAAATGTAGTCTTAAACGTTTTTACGTTTTGCCAATTGAGTCCATCCGGTCAATTTTGACATAAATGCTACTCGTCTTACGTGGCGCGACCGGCGCTAATATGGACATTTTAAAATAATATTTTCATAAATTTGTGATTTTTTTATAATTTTTATTTTTTCTTTACTTTTTTTTTTGGACTAAGGGCCAGCAAGGGTCGCTAGCCAACCCTCGCCTGATCTAGGAGTTGCAGCCTCGCTTGAGGCCGACAAATGCCGCAATGCCCTCACCTAGCTAGATCTGGCGAGGGCATCACAGCCCTTGCCAAAACTAGTTGAGGGGCTGCACACCCTTGTTTTGGTCAACGAGGGCATCACAGCCCTCGCCCAAGCCTTCCCTGGCCACAGTGAGGGTATCGCAACCCTCGCCTAGTACTGGCGACCCATGATGACCCTTAGTTTAAAATATATATATATATATATATATATATATATATATTAAAAAAGTGCACGTCAGCGCCGACCGTGCTACATAGGATAGCTGGCGTCCATGTTAGCGATTTTCGGCCAAAATTGGTTGAATGAACTTAATTGGTAAAATGTGAAAATATTTAGAACTAAATCGACACAATTGAAAGGTTTATGGCTGAATTAGCACAAATATAATAGGCTTAGGACTTTTTTTTTTGTAAGTATCACCTTAATAGGTCAAAGTAGCCATTTCAAAGGTTATTCTTAGCTCATAACATTCACTTGAAACTAATTAATGAATTTTGCCCGAAATTGACCAAATGGCTTCTACAAACTTGCCTAACACTTGCCTCTACTTAGCCAAAGATGGCAAACCTCATCTGACTTCTTTAGAACGTTTCTCTATGGATCATAAAGGCCTAAAGTTGGCTCCAAAGCACCAATTTGAATGTGAATCAAATTCATATGGTGTTGGGTCTTTATTTCCAAGTACGAGGATTATTGTCCCTTCCGTCTGAAGTGCAAGATTCCTTTATGACATGATCCATCTAGACTTGACGATTTTACCATAGTTAAATTTGTTCACCTACTACACTTTGATCCTTCTGAGCATTGATGTATGAATGTTATCTAAGTTGTTCTCCTTCTATTTGGTATGTCGAAGCACCTCGACGATCGCATGTCCTTTGCTTGTTCACCAAAATTCAATGTAAAGTCCTTCCAACTCTAAGAGTTTATGAAATTTGAGCATTATAGTGTCAGAGCTTTATCGCATTAGTAAATTGTAGATGCACTTGTGATTACATAAGAAATTTGAGCTACAATACGTATGCATAAGAATTTATATGGATTACAGTTCATGATTCCTTTTAGATGACAGGTTTACTTTTCTCACTCCCTTTCTCTTGTGAACACATATGCACGTTAAATGTCAAAATCACACCAAAAAGACATAGTAAAAGGGAAATCTGACGAAATAAGATAACTTCATTTATAAGACAGACAGTATCCTACACGAGGAGAGCTGTGAGCAACTTTACTGTTCCTACCAAGCAAAGAAGTCATGTAGACTGGATATCCATATCACGGGAACAATAAAAACATATGCCTAACGGCGCAATAATACAATAGAGCAGAATATCTTTGATGAGCTCTTTCATCTGAAGGTGACTCTCCTCATCCTCTTCGAGTTCATGCAGAATCTCTCGTTGTAATATTTTGGGCCAAAATACTAAATAGGGCCAAAAGCCCAATTACCTTGTAAAAGCTCTCAATCCATTCTTTTGCCAAGCCTTAGCCCAAACAAAGTGCAAGAAGTCTTCTTCCCCGTTTCAGCAGTGTGATCGTGAATTGAAGCGTAAACGATGAAAAGCAGGCGGTGACAAAAACAGGGAAAAGAGAGACACTTTTGCTCGCACACGTTTCGGATGTCCTGACAAACTGAATCAACTTTATTTTGCATCATGCGATAAGGATTCAAGCCCTTTGATCATTTAATCGGAGTAGTTTTTAGAATTAAGGCGCAAATTCAAAGATATGTGAATTTTGAACTGTGATGTTTGATTTAGGAGTTGTTAAGCTCTAAATTTTTGTGGAAATGATAGTTGAAGACATTGTGGAGCCATAGGGTTTGACGACAATTGATTCTGGCTTATGTTTTGATCGAAATGGAGTTCTGAAGTTTCGTATACGATTTGCGCCTAATTGACAAATATGAATGTTCGCTATAAACAAGTTTCTTCATTAGTGCATAGAAGTCGATTGGTCGATGAATAAGTGTAGCTTAGTCAAGTCATTCAATAGAGTAATGTATTACTTGGATTTTAATATTGTATTTTAATTAATTGATAAGAATATGAGTGCGCCGGCTCGAGTAACCTTCCTAGGTTGGTTTTCAGCTTTCGAGATGAGTGGTGCTATTCTTTCTTTGAATTTGTAAACTCATATTTTGAAAACGATATGAATTATATATATTATAAGTCATGAAATGGCATTTTTGTTGCATAAAAATGTGGATCTAGCATATATTACTTTTAATATTTATGAATGGTTTTAGAAATGTTTTAAGAAATGTATTCAGAAATGTTATATAATATATATATATATATATATATATATATATATATATATATATATAGTTTTGCGAATCTGGTTTATAAAGTGAATTCTTAAATGATTTAAGATATGTTCGTATGAAAGATATTCTGATTGATGAACTGAGTTGTGAAGGAATACATATTTTTGTTTATGAAAGGTATTCTGATTGATATATTGATTCGTCAAAAGTTAAATATTTTGGTTATTGAAATTGATGGTCAAGGGTTATTGGAGATTGAGGTTGGTGGATTATGCTCATATTGCTATGATTAGAACTCATTGAGGGGTAAGTATGCATATTGTTATTATGACGTCCTTCTAGACCTAACCAGTGACTAATATAAGTGGAGACCTAGTCAAGGAGAGAAAAATTGGTCCCCTTTGTCACAAGCATTAAGAATTATCATAGCTAGATATTGAGCATTAGATTAGCCAATGTAATTGACCATTGATGTTTGACTTGATAGAGATTGATCAATGGAATAAACCTTTGATGGTTGATTTGTTATTGTTGAGTTGATATTAATTATTGATCTTATACGTAAAAAAATTTTGTTGTCGGAAAGATATCGTTCGATTTTGATATTTTACATCATGTACTGGATTTACGATTAATGAGTTATGATATTGGTTTATAAAGATGTATAGCAAATGCTCAATCTATTTAGAAGAGATGTGCAACTCACTGGGTTGTCGTTGTTTATTTCATTCGTCTTACTTCCTTTTCAAGTTATTCAGCTAGCCGCAAGTAAGACGAGAGCGTTTATGTTATCAGCAAGACATTTTGGCAGTGGGATTTTTGGGTATGAGTTATATATGTCTGAGATGAACTTGTGAGTTTAGTTGTTAGATGGAGATATACATATCCTGTTGATGGATTACGGAAACTCTAATCCTTTAACCAAACGACTCTTTTATTAAATATATGAATGTATATATTTCGATTTCGATAACTGGTTCATGATAGTTATGTTTGAGGCTGCATCCTTCGATTTGAAGGATAGCCGTTATACTTGTAGAGTTGGGGGTATGACAGTCGTAAGAAGAGTTTTATCTTCGCGGCTTACTTCAACAATTGCGCATGGCTACCTTGAGTTTTCCTTTCTTTGCAGATGTAGAGGGTGCTTCTTGCTTTCCTTTTCTTGCTAACTGCCTCTTCTTCCCTTCAACATTTTTCTACAAGCTTCTCCTTTTCTCCTTCTTCCCTTTGTACTTCTCCTTCAATCCTCATGAGCTTGTCCACTCAATAGCATATTCCCTTTGCTTCCATCCATCAGCAGAAGGCTTGATTTACATTCGATTCAGAGTTCATACCCCATCATCCTTGGCAAGGACTTCTCTTTCTTCGACTCCTCGAGAATTCTACCCCTTCCTTCCTCAGAATTTTCAAGATAATAGGTATCATTCATGGCATTCACGACTATTGGCTTGATCACATTGGACATGTGATTCACAATATCTCACTCTGGTGTTTCTCGATTATTTTCTTCATAATCACCATCACACTGAGATTTGGTGCTATCTCCCTTAATTGTTCTTCAGTATGTTGCCAGGGAAGATTAGTTCCCTTGCGTCGGCCTTCTTCAGCCGCTCCGTTAGCAGCTGAAGATTCGGATGTGTAGCCACTTCATTTCTGGTTTACGATACTGGATTATTGTTGCCAAGAGCGTTGTCTACCTCTTGTTGGTTTCTGGTTCTCGCCAAAGCTTTCTCAGATCAAAACGAGAATCCCACTAGGTGTAAAAAGAAGATATTTCACCAAAAAGTCGATAAAATACTTTTCAAGTGTAATGGATCGATAAGTAAATCGACAGCAAGTGTCCTTTCTTAATTTTTGGGTAGGAAAAGTAAATGACAATAAATCTAATGATACTAAAATTGGGAACAATAGTTGGCGGCCATGTAAAAGAACTAGTAAAGTGAAGATACATTGAAAGTAAAGATGAACAACATGTGTTCTTGGATAAATCGGCGGTCCTTTACAAAGAATACAACTTGGGATACTTATACGACTACAATCGACGGTTATTCAACGGTTTCTAAGAATTGAAAACGGCTCTACGTGACTCCTACTTTCCAGCAATACCTATTTACTAACGGTTATAACTTCAATAATTCCTCGCCTCTGCTACTTCAACGGTTGCATCTGAATTTGTCGGTTCCATTATTTGATGATCACTTCTCTAACGATTCCATCTGAGTCTATGGGCTACACTGCTTGACGGTTACATCGTTTGCTCTTCCATTGATTGAATTTACCGACTTCTTGATCACTTGGCCGCTATTCGTTGACATCTCTATCAGTTAGAACCAATTATTCTTGTCGATCGATTGCCCTTTGTCAACTAATTACTCAATACTTAACAATGTTCCTGCTTCAGTCATCATTCAAGCAACTCTTATCGACCAAACTATCAACTACAACACTTAGGACTTTTTTTGGTGTAAACAGCCACCTTACACAAGTATAAAAAAATGCACAACCTAAAACCATTGAGACAAATTTAACACGATCTTTCAAACTTATCAAAACACGTAAACGTTTGACATGTGTACAAAAAAAAAAGGCAACAGTTATTTTATCATTTATAAACAAAAGGTCTGGAACTTTAACAGAAGGTCCTGTTAAAGGTCCAATGGTAGAAAGAAATTTATGGGTGCAATGCTTTAGGCAGAGAAAAAAATTCCGATTCTTTGAAAAGAATAATGTGATTTCAGTGTTGAGGATATTGATGAAATTGATATTAGGATGGAAATGGCCTTATATGGGGGAAAATGTCCCGGTTCTAGGCGTTAGTATCCATAAACGCCGTGAGAGTTGGGGAGAATAGAGAGAATAGCAGAGGATGATGCCATTTTTATCAAGTTATGCATACAAAATTTCAGTTTCATTTTGACCGGATACAGTAGAAGTTGCACTGGTTTTCTAAAGGCTTCTTTGGAGTAGCTATCCTCTCCGTTAACAGTTCAAACTAATTGAACTTCAGAGAGTCTCAATCTGCCCTCATTAGATAACAAAAACTTTTGTTGGAAGTTAGCTAAAATCCGGGTATAATATGAGTAACATTTCAATGATCAGATACTGTACATAATAAAAAAAACTGCAAGTCCGGTGATATTGTCAAATCTTGAACAAGCATAAGAAACCACATATAAGAGAGCGGCATGGTTTTTTGTTCTTTTAAGAATGCTATCGTGCGACATTCACATTGATCTCCAAGTGTACCATCTGAAGAAATCGACCGGCTCCTTAGCACAAGGAGTTTTGGCACTTGGGGTGGTGACACGAGCAAAAAAACATTAGAGGGACTTTTCAAGAGCATTGAAACTTCCGGTTCTTTACTTCCCTCTGAACAGAAGCAACAAAAGAAAGAGACAAGAGTATGAGGGGGAGATCTTTCTATATATAAGCTCATGCACATTCATTTGAAATGTGCAAGTAGCTAACCTCTACACTTTCTTTTAGCCCTCTTTCATTAGACATGACTAGCAGGGCAACAAATCCGTCTAGTTCAGCTTCACGAAGCACGTTTTTATGGCTACTTCTGTTGTCTACGGTGACTAGCTTTGTGATGTCGGAATCCGAAGAATGCCAGACATACATCATCCACATGGACCGTTCACAGAAACCAGCATCTTTTTTGACCCACGAGATGTGGCACCGGGCCACCGTGGACTCGTTATCGCCACCTCTCAGCGATGGCGAGGACAAGTTTCTCTATTCATACAACCATGTCATACACGGTTTTAGCGCCAGGCTCACGCTGTCTGAGCTAGCCAAGATTGAAAAGTCTCCCGCTCATCGAGTGACGCTGAAAGAGTCCTTTGGCAAGCTGTTCACAACCCACAGCAGCAAGTTCCTCGGCCTAAAGCACAGCTCTGGACTGTGGCCCACCAGCTCATGTGGAGAAGGTGTTATCATCGGAATCCTCGACACAGGAATATGGCCGGAGAGCGCCAGCTTTAGCGACAATGGGATGCCACCAGTGCCTCCAAGATGGAAAGGTGAGTGCGAGAACGGCACTGCCTTTAGCCCATCTAACTGCAATCGTAAACTCATTGGAGCTCGGTCTTTTAGCAAGGGCCTTGCAGCTGCAGGAATAAACATATCTGAAAAGTATGACTACGATTCCGCTAGAGATTTCATGGGTCACGGCACACACACATCATCCACCGCTGCAGGGTCCCCTGTAAATGGAGTAAGTCATTTTGGATATGCGGGTGGGATAGCCAGAGGAATAGCACCGGCAGCTCATGTTGCGATGTACAAAGTTTTGTGGGCAACTGACACATACGAGTCTGCGTCGAGCGATGTGCTTGCTGGAATGGATCAAGCAATTGCTGACGGAGTAGATGTCATGTCTCTGTCTCTCGGCATCTTGCTCACACCGTACTTCAACGATGTGATTGCCATAGCATCTTTGTCGGCAATTGAAAAGGGTATCGTCGTTGTCTGCTCAGCTGGAAATGACGGGGCCTATAACACTACGTTCAATGGAGCACCCTGGATCATGACAGTAGGAGCAGGAACTATTGATCGAAGCTTCATCGCGACTTCAACCCTGGGAAATGGGTTAACTATAGAGGGCACGTCATACTTCCCTGAGAGCATCTACATCACTGATGCACAAGTTTATTATGGCAAGGACAACCCTGACAAAGCGAAATGCCGCTTGTCAGCACTTGAACCAAAAGAAATTGCTGGAAAGGTGGTTGTGTGTGACAACAACAATACGGTGGATTTGTACAGTCAGGTCGAAGAACTTGCTAACAAAGGAGCATACGCGGCAATTCTCTTGAGCGATGGTTTAAATTTGAATCCAGAAGACTACTCCATCCCTGCTGTGGTCATACCAACTTCTTCAGGAACTCCAATAAGGGACTACCTCAGAAGACAAAACAATGCAACTGTGAGTATGAGGTTCTTGCAGACCAAATTGGGCACAACCCCAGCGCCTCAAGTTGCCTATTTCTCTTCGAGAGGGCCAGATCCAATCAATCCAAGCATCTTGAAACCGGATATTCTAGCTCCAGGAGTGGATATACTAGCTGCAGTTGCGCCAAACAGGCCTTTTATGGAAGTTGGCCCCTATGATCTAGTGACCGATTACGCGCTTTACTCGGGCACATCCATGGCCGCACCACATATTGCCGGGGTTGCTGCTTTGCTGAAGGCCGTGCACAAAGATTGGAGCCCAGCGGCCATCAAATCAGCAATGATGACCACAGCATACACCTTGGATAACACTGGGACGACCTTGAAAGATCAAAACTGGCGAAATGCTGCCACGCCTCTAGATTTCGGAGCAGGCCATGTTAATCCTAACAAAGCTGTGGACCCCGGACTTATATATGATCTGAACTTGCAAGATTACATCAAATTCCTTTGCAGCTTGGGATATACTGAGAAGCAGATGAGTGCAGTCACCAGGAGAGGCAAGTGGAATTGCAGCCAAAGTGATGGTGACCTGAACTACCCTTCTTTCATCTCCGTATTTTCAAACAAAACTGGCTCGACCAAAGTTAAGGGCTTCAAAAGAGTTGTGACAAATGTGGGAGATGATACATCTGTTTACCAAGCGATTGTGGCGAGTCCAAAGGAAATGAAAGTCACAGTGCAGCCTAGCAATCTCACATTCACTCACAAGTATGAGAAGCAGAGTTTTCATCTGACTATAGAAGTCGATATGAGTGCTCCGAGAGTGACTTCTGGTTACCTCAAATGGATCGATCAACACAATCATGTTGTATCGAGCCCCATTGTGGCTATTTCGTACTAGCTATTCAGATTACTGGACTGGCAATCATGCCCATCCATGTCTTGTGCATGTTTCCTCAAAATTTTTACTTTTAAAGGAACATTGCACTTCTTTTTCAGGAATGATGACGGCCCAATTGATTGGACTTTGGTCTGCTTTACAATCGAGTGCGCAAACTTTCTGTCCAAACCAAGTACCTTAATTTTTCATATATGGGTCCATGTGCAACTGATGTTTAAAGTCGCGGATAAATGTATATAGCCGTTAACCTTCAACATTGGCATATGTTTAGGCCTCTAAAAAGACGCCATCTCAATAGACAATCAGATGGACAAGATTGTCTAAGACAGTACTCTCTCTCCTAGTCACCCAACACCAAATGAAGATGGTACGATTTCACTTAGCAAGTGAGCCACGTCAACAATTAGGCTTAACTTTGTTAGATAGACTAGTCATATTAGTTAAATCATATAACATGGCAATTTATTTATCGGTTGTCTTATATTGAGCAAAACTCGAAAAGTTAAGATAAGAACGGGATAGAAGTTCAAGTATATGATTGTGCAACGGCCAAAAGTTCAAGTACCCACAGTGTTATTACCCTTTCTTTCTACTATTCTAGTCTGTGATGCCTAATTGAAGATTATCGGTTTGCCTATTTTGATTCTTGTGTATCATTTTATAAATATTAGAACCAAGGAAAATTTACAATTGCGGTGCCCTAACTTATGCACATGTTTGTTTTTGGTCCCTCTATTATATTTTTCGCCGCAAATTTCATCCCCTGTACTCTTTTCTGGGGACGACTTAAGAATATCTTTCGACAATTCTTCCCAAATCTTGACGGAATTTACCGACTCAAGCACCAGAAAACCTGTATCGCCTACGCTAAGAGTAAACAACCAACATTATTTCATGGTCCTTGTACCCTTGCACTGTTTCGATGTTTGTTTCTTGTACTATCTTCCATTGACGATCTAAGAAATTCTTCACCCTTTTTCCCTCAGCACATTAGACAAGCCGATTCAAATGGAGTTGAAGTCAAAGCTGTTGGTTGTTTGTTTGTGAAACAAACAAAATAGTGCTTTTTCCTTTGTCCCACAAAGGAAAGTTTTGAGAAGGTGGGCCACTTTATATGTGTAAGTATGTTCTTTCTTGTTAAAGTGAAGACAATGAGGTGTGGACTAGACTTCTCAATATCCGCGTGCGGGTGCGCGATTTTGACGGTTATTTTTTTATTAATTAATTTCGAAATTTATTATTTAGCCTAATGGTTATTAGGCGTTCTTACAACCTTTGGAAGAATTGTGTCCCTTCGGATATAACTACTTCACATTTAGAAGGTTATGCCTTTTCACTATAAAAAAACATGATTTTTGCGACGAATTTTGCGACGAAAAATTTGGAAAAATCCGTCGCAAATCGAATTTGTGATGAATTTAGCGACGGACAAAATTCCGTCGCTAATAGGTCGTCGCAAATTTGCGACAGAAAAAATTTCGTCGCAAATAATTCGTCGCAAAATTCGTTGCAAATTAGCCACGAACACTATCGGTCACGCAAAATTCGTCGCAAATTAGCCACGAACTCTATTCGTCGCAAAATTCGTCGCAAAATTCGTTGCAAAATTCGTCGCAAAATTCGTCGCAAAATTCATCGCAAATTAGCCACGAACTTTATTCGTCGCAAAATTCATCGCAAAATTTGTCGTAAATAATTCGTCGTAAATTAGCCACGAACTTTATTCGTCACAAAATTCGTTGCAAAATTCGTCGCAAAATTCGTCGCAAAATCTGTCGCAAAATTAGCCACGAACTTTATTCGTCGCAAAATTTATCACAAAATTCGTTGCAAAATTCGTCGCAAAATTAGCGACGAACTTTGTTCGTCGCAAAATGTATTCGTCGCAAATTAGGCACTAACTTGATTCGTCGCTACTTATTCGTCGCAAATTAGCCACGACCTGTAATGGTCGCAAAATTCATCTCTAAATATTCGTCGCAAATTTTACACCATTTCGGCCATCAAAACTTGTCCATATCAATAGCTACGCATTAATGAACATCATGTAATACATTCAAAACAATCAAAGGACACGAGAAAATCATAGATTCCGCTTCAGAAACAGAAAACGAACAAACCAGACACAATGCCATATAATTGAAAAATGTAACTGAAGGAAAGATGCTAGTCCGCAAAAAAATAATGATATATGCAAAGTTGCAAAGTCTGACATGATGATATTTGATATCCAATCTTATAAAACATTCAAAACATTCATAAGAGGCGGGACAACCATAGATTCTGCTTAAAAAACGAAAAATCGACAAACTAGACATAAGATTGGGCAGCTGTGGTACTCGGCAGGACACCAAAAGCAGTCACTTTTGTCGACACCTGATGAAATGTGAATACATAAATAAAGATATTCAATCAGTCCAGAATATAAAAGAAGTATTTATGCATGAATGTTGAACTAGGTATAAAAAAACAAGTAAGAGGGTTAACAAAAAAACGTTTCAAGACGAACATCAATGTTCTTACATATGAATATGAGTCAACTTTGACATCCACTGTACTTTTTTCACCCTTGTAAACCGTATTCTTGTCACCTAGGAAAAATTAGATCCTTGTCAAAACAGCATTGCAACAGTTTAATGACTTAGAGAGGTGAATTACCAACACCAATTCCCAGGAAGAGAGGACTCAAAGTGAATTAAGGCATGTATTTCTACAATGTTCAAATATCATGATTTTTTTTAACAAGCATGCGATCCTGGGATCTCTAAATTTTCAGTTTTTCACAAGCAAAGAACCTTGTTGTAAGAAAGTTGTGCACAAAAAGTAATTGTAGGGAAGGAACATATTAGGTGAAACTGCACTTATGTCATAAAAGATTATGAAACAAGCTTACCCCCGATTTTGGCAATTTTAACTAGAAAGGACCGAGAAAATCATCATCATCATCATCATCAATCTCAGCATCATTGTGTTGCTCATCATTGTGCCCATCACCTGTTGGATTGGCGGGAGGTACAGGAGGAACCTCACCGCGATTGATGTTGAGGTGTCGCATAACGATTTGCATTTGTTGTTTCAAGTCATTTATTTCTTCGTCCCTCTCTACAATTATATTTTTCAGCTGATTCACTTCTTGGGTCAATTGCTCGTCATGTCGTGTCCTCCTTCGACCAGTCGCATTGGATGATGAAGTTCCAGCATGATTCGGCATGTACATCCTTGACAAGGATCCCATCCCAAATATTTTTCTTTTTTTCATCCCACCCGTTGCCTCCACCCATAATGCCATACTGTCAACTGATGGCTCAGACCAGCACAACCATCACTACCACTAGCATTGCCCATTAAAAGTTCATCATATTTTTCCTACATTAACAATATAGATGAAAATAAAATAACTTCAAATATATATCTACCATAAATATTAAAAGCATTAACGGTTTTCATTCTAGTTTCCATAAAGCCCAAAGTATAACCTTACATACCTTAATAGATTTTGCTCGATTGCCAATCCATGTCTTATCTTTCTTTTGAAATGTGCGTTCAAATGTAGCTGCAAATGTCGGTTCCGTCCCCAATTCTTGTGCCTACAAAATGTAAACATGAGTAATTGAATTAAATTAACTTATAACTTATTTAACAGACTTACCAGTCGTTTGCGATGCTCCCCAATGTTGATACAGCCCCCAGCATATTTGGCAGACCCTTCACTAGAACTAGAAGAGCGATTCTTTTTATTCAGCTCACTGATTTACTGACTCCTTTCAGTTTCCCAAATTCTATTAATTTCCGTCTAATTGTCAGCTGTAATGAAAGCCGGCTTTACTTTTTTGATTTTCGCTCTATTCATCACATTTCGTATAAAATCACTGACTTTCTTCTGAAAAATTCTTCTCACTTCATTCTCTTCCTCTTGAGCCCACCTGAACTTCCGCTGCAATCAATACTAGAAAAACTGAAAGTTATTATGATGGTCACATATCCATTACCATGCACCAGACAATTCGGCGATAGACTTTGTTAAGTTCATCTCGGGGAAAATATCTGGTCCTTTTAGTACCGAAAACTAAAGAATTGTTCTGGTCCCTTTACATCATTCTTGACCATCAATATACTACACCGAACTTAGTTGGTGAGAAAATAGAATATCTAAAACTTACCTTGAACTCATTCCACCACAAATCTTTTACTTCTTGTGGAACACTTCTGTAATTAATATACTGCCCCATCCAATAGTTTTTTACTATTTTATTCGGTTCCTTCACAACAAACGGAGCATCCGTGAATCTGCAAACATACGGATATTGTGCAACATCGACAATTCAGTTGACATCCATATCTAAAGCCATAAATATTACATATACTAAAAAAAATGAAGTATTTACGAATCTCCAAATGGGCAAATCATGAATCGTTGATCTTCTTCACCTGTGTTTCCGTCATTACGTGAATGTTGCGCTGAATAATAAGGAGGAACGGAAGGAGAGAGAGCCAAAGGAGATGGAATTGGAGGAGATTCAGTTGGCATGTGGCCAAGTCCCATAACATGTTCTTGAGCGTTGGAGGAAGGACCAACGTGTCCATATTGTCCATCAGTATATTGTGGTTGAAGGTTAGATGAAAGGACAGGAGACGAGGAAAGGGCTGGGGACGAGGACGTTGAAGAGGCTGGTCTTCTATGCATGTGACCTCCACGTTTATACTGACAAGTATGAAGGTTAGATAAATATGTAAAAAAATATGAACACGTATTACGGACATATAATGACGTACATGACGAAGCTTACCATTTTGGTTCAGAAACAGAAAATGTTCCCTCTTAATTAGCCAATGCCGAGTGTTTATGACGGGCAATTTCCTACGAACAAATATACTATAAATCGCACTCATTTTGATATCAAACATCAATATATGAGCACGATATGCCATGCTAAGCCGACATTAGCCATAATTAACAACACGATCCACTTTCAAACCACACGATAATTCATCAAGTACAA